AGATTTAATACAATGAAAAAAATACTTTTAGGGTTGGAAAACGGTGCGGCTGGTGCAGATCATATAGACGGGCTACGGTCCAGACCAAGAGGCTAAAGTATAAACCAGAGACCAGACCACATACTATACGGTCTAGACCAGACCACGCTGGTGCAGTCTGATCCAGATAGACCATATAGACGGTCGGCTATATCCACGGTTTGGTCCGGTAAACCGCGGTCTAGACCAGATCATACCAAGAAATCAAAACTTCATATAATACAGACCATGGACCAGACCAGATTATTCTTCACGGTCTACGATCTGGACCAAACTATACAATCCGGTTTGGTCCACAGTTTTTCAAACGATCTGATCTATTTTTCCAGTCCTAAATACTTTTGATAAAATTGATCCCTTCTATAAGCATAGGAATTTAATATTAATTTCTTACCAAAACTTACCTGTATATTTGTAACAATAAAACCAAAAACCATCTGACTCCACCTAGTTGAAATGTGTGGCCTAATACAGTAATACTAATAAGCTTTATGGAGAAAGTCGAGCGATCAAGATGTTGGGAAATCAGAAATACGGTGGAAATTGTTGTGTCTTATTACTGAAATCACATAGGGTTTATATAGAGTACAATAATAAACCTAATACTAATACAGAAATAACCTAACTTCTACGACTCTGATAAGGAATATAACTCTGCTCAATTACATAACAGTACTCGTAGTATGACATAATACTACTCGTACTACCCATACTCTAATACCCTCCCCAAATTGATGGTAATTACTTACCAAAAATTTGAAAATTGAGACAAAACTAACACAAAAAGAAAATAAAAAACTATAACAAAGACACTGATAACTACTACCAATCCCAAACTCCATGTCGATGTTGAAGAAAACCACTCCTCACGAAGACGTTGATGGTGATGAACTAGATGTAATGAGATCTCTTGCCAAAACTGCCTTCTCATACTTATCCTCCATAGATGCTTCAGAAATTCACTATCATGAAAACAAACCAAAGATGCTCCAAATAGCATCGTCGAACCAAGAAAACCGAAACCAAAACCATGCATGCTCCGAACAGCATCATCGAAACGGAAACAGAACCACGTGCTCCGTACAGCAACATGGCGATCAGGATGCTCTGAATAGCATCATCGAAACGGAGAAACATACCAAACATGCTCCAGACAGCATTTATCAAACAGAGATGTTCGGTACAACATCTTTAACCAAGGTGTTCCGAACAACACCGTAAAACAGAACGATAACAAGATTCCAAATTTCTTGAAGGACAAGTCACAAAGGCAGATCGGGAGAGACTTACTGACGGAAACACCAAAAGGAGGAAGTTGCTGGATTATTGGCGACTCCTTTCTTCCCAAGCCGAACATGCAACAGAAGCAACATCGAGTTCTTTCATTCAACCGACAAAAACAATGGGAACTTGATAAATCAACCAAACTCCAGGACAATGGAAGGCTGAAGCAGTTACACATGGTCTCTACAACTCGAGGCGGATATGGTATTTTGGCTGCAACAAAAGTTGACACGGCAAAACCATGGGTTTTTGTTTTATTTCCCAATGAAGCTAACAAAGGAAGAGAAGTACTAATGATAATTGGAGCAGCAAAGGAACAAGCAGGGAACGGAAAGAATTAAATTCCGGGCGATTTGGGACTCATGGAGGGTGGCGGACGGAGAAGAAAAGAAAGCTTAGGGTTTTTTCGATTAGGTTTTTGAAACAGGTTCTGATACCATGTTGAGAAATCAGAAATACGGTGGAAATTGTTGTGTCTTATTACTGAAACCACATAGGGTTTATATAGAGTACAAAGACTGACTTCTATAATAACCCTAATACTAATACAGAAATAAACTAACTTCTACGACTCTGATAAGGAATATAACTCTGCTCAATTACATAACAGTACTCGTAGTATGACATAATACTACTCGAAACTGAATACGACACAGGATTTAACGTGGTTTCCTTACTCAGTGAGAGCAAGACTAGTCCACGGCAGGAAACAGAGTCTCGTATATTCATATGCTCAACAAGTACATGCATATACATATTTATATTCGGTACACCATAACCCTAGCTACGGCCGAGCTATGCATGCTACGTATGGGCCTGGCATACGTACATGGGCTGAAGTCCATAACTCAACAGCCTCCCCCAAATTGATGAAGATTTCTCATCATCAATTTGCCAGCAAGATAGGAATGACGACTCGCCGAAAAACCCTTAGTCAATAAATCGGCAATCTGATCTTCTGACTTAACATAGACAAGCCGGATAGTCCCCGCATGAACTAAGTCACGAATGTAGTGGAGATGAACCTCTATGTATTTTGTGCCATCATGGAGAACTGGATTCATGGCTATTTGAATAGCACTAGTGTTGTCAACATAGAGCTGCATCGGAAGTTGACATTCTACACCCAATTCTCCAAGCAGTCGCTGGAGCCATTCCAGTTCAGAGGTAACGTCAGACATGGCACGATACTCCGCCTCTGTAGAAGATTTGGAGACACGATCCTGCTTCTTACAGCGCCAGAAGATGAAGGAATCACCCAATCTAATACACCAAGCAGTCGTCGATCGACGAGTATCGACACAACCTGCATAGTCAGCATCAAAGAAGGCTTCAAGCTGGAGTGTACCAGTCGATGGGAGAAATAAACCAATCTCCTTCGTGCCCTGAAGATAACGTAAAAGACGGTGTACTGCATCAAGATGAGAAGTCCGAGGGGCTGACATAAACTGACTCACTATCTGAACAGCATACGCAATATCTGGTCTATTAGAGGTTAGATAAATCAAGGAACCCACAATACTACGATACTGCGATACTGCTTCCCCCCATCTGGTAGCAAATCCCCGGAATCACGGCCGAGCTTCAAATTCACCTCCATAGGTGTCGAAACCGGAAGACAATCACCAAACTGAGCAGACTCCAAGAGATCAATAATATATCGCCGCTGGTTAAGAAGGATGCCACCCCAAACTCGATGAACCTCCAAGCCAAGAAAATAGGACAACTCACCTAACTCCTTCAAAGCAAAAGCATGACGCAAACCACTAGTGAGATCCTCAATCCCAGCTGCATCATCACTAGTAACGATCATATCGTCGACATACAGGAGCAAAGCAACAAGGCCACGAGATGTACGTCGAGTAAACAAGGAGGGATCATTGAGACTCTGCTGAAATCCAAGCTCCAAAACAGTATGCTGAAACTTCTCAAACCAGGCACGAGGTGCCTGTTTGAGACCATAAAGCGAACGGCGAAGCAGAAATACCTGATCACGAGAACCCAAGGAATATCCCGGTGGACACTCCATATAGACTGTCTCCTGCAGATCACCATGTAAAAAGGCGTTTTTGACATCTAACTGAAACAGAGGCCAACCTTGTCGAGAAGCAACAACCAAGAGAGAACGAACAGTAACCATCTTCGCAACCGGGGCAAAAGTTTCGTTGTAATCCACACCAAAGGCCTGAGTGAACCCCTGAGCCACAACTCGAGCTCTATACCTCTCAAGAGTACCGTCAGGACGCATCTTAAGAGTGTAAACCCACCGGCTACCGACCACAGGGACCTCAGGCGGGGGACGAGGAACAACATCCCACGTGTGGTTCGCATGAAGGGCAGCAAACTCATCATCCATAGCTCCTTCCCAATGCGGGTTACCCTGTGCTTCACGATAGCGAGTCGGGATGGGAATGGCATCAACGCCATATGTCACGAAGTCATGAAGTCTGGCAGGGAGTTGCCCCTGCGTGGAGCGAAGAGACCGTCGGAGAGGAGGGACATCAACAGCTGGAGATGCATCAGAAGAAGACCCGGCGGAGGATGGTGAGGAAGACCCACTGGACGACGACGAGCTGGGAGAGGTGGGAGGGGAGTCGGGGGGTAGCCCATCAGCAAGGACGTCAACATCATCATCAGCGAAGGACGGAGGACCAATGGAAGAGGCGAACAGTGATGGAGACTCGGAAGAAGGACTAGAGTAGAACATCAAGTTCTCAAAGAAGATCACATTACAGGAGACCCTAAGCCATTGAGTGGACGGTTCGAAACAAAGATAACCTTTATGGATGTCACTATAACCAAGAAAGACACACCGAGCAGTTTTAGACATAAGCTTGGTGCGTTCAGACCGAGGACGCAAGACAAAACAGGTGCAACCAAAAACTCGAAGACGAGAATAGGGTGGATGTTTGTCATAGAGGCGGAAGTAGGGACTGGACTGTTCAAGAACCGGGGTGATTTGATAGTTGATGAGACGAACAGTTGTGGATACGGTTTCAGGCCAGAAGGATGAAGGAACATGCGAAGCTAACAAGAGGGCACGAGTAATCTCCATAACATGTCTGTTTTTGCGTTCAACCAGACCATTTTGCTGGGAAGTGCCAGGACACGCTTTTTGAGGAAGAATACCATGCGATCTATAAAGCTGTAGAAGGGGATGAGAACTGAATTCACCACCTTCATAAGCACGAATGACACGAATAGGTTTGGAAAACTAGGTACGAATCATAGTGATAAAATCAGTGGCAACAGTAAGAAGGTCGGATTTGAGGCGGAGGAAGTAGACCCAAGTAAATCTAGTGGCATGATCAACAAAAAGAGCAAAGTATTTGTAACCATGGCGAGAAGTCACAGGACTGGGTCCCCACAGATCAGTGTGAATGATGTGAAAAGGCTCAAGAATGGTCGTTTGACTAGGTGGAAATGAAATTCGAGTGGCTTTGGCCTCAACACAGCAAGTACACGAAAAATCTGATGAATCACCAATCACATTATCACCAAATAATTTAGGGTTAATACCACTAGAAAACCCGAACTATTAACTTTGTGTCATTTGTGTCCTAAAGTAATCGATATGACATTTGTGTCCTAAACTATTTGTCCGTTAGAGTTGACTGGCGTTGACCGTTAGTTTTTAACTGAAAATCTAGTCAGCGCTGATGTGGCATCCGACGTGGAATATTATTATTTATTATTGATTTATTTTATTATAAAAAATAATATACTAACAAAACGAAAATTACAAAATACAAAAAATTAAATATAAAAATACAAAATAAATAACTCTTTTATCTCTCCTCCGTAGTCTTCGCCGCCGGAACTCCTCCCGCTGCTTCTTCGTCTTCTCTCCTCTGCTCGTTGCCCTCTTGAACTACAAACTCCCAAACACAAATCAAGAAACCCAACCCAGATCTCAATACCACAACGAAATCAGAAACCCCAACCCACAACGAAATCAGAAACCCAAATGGCCAACAAAATAATCGAAATCCCTAAAAATTTCAGGGTTTCTTTCTTATCTGAATCCCAACTCATATAAACAAATTCAAGAAGAATGGCATGGGGGAGTGGCGACTTACCTGATGGAGTCACTATTGGCGGCATCCTTTTCACCATCGACGGCGGATGAGGGAGAGCAAGAAGAATGGCATGGGGGGCGGCATCCTTTTCGCGAATCCGCAATGGAAATCTTAAGCACGATGGGTGATTTAGGGATTGGAGGAATTCGATTGGAATTTTGAATTGAATCTAAAGGCGACGGAGCCGAGATTGGAGGAGTTCGATTGGAATTTTTATCTGAATTTGAAGGCGACGGAGATGACCTGGATTTGTAGGGCCGAATTGAAGTGGTGGTTGCCGGAGCTGGATTATTCGCCGTTCGATATTTGTCTCTCCTCGTCCAAGTCGCCGGACCAAGTATCCTTTGCGGAGCTGGTGCTGAAAATCCGGAGAAGATGTCGATTGGAGTCTGTGATCCAGAAGTGTCTGTCGAGGAGCGACCTAGACCAGAGCCAAGCGCGGCTGTCGATCCCGCGCGGGGCGGTGGGGGAAGAGTTCTTGACGGCGGAGCAGTGGGGCACGGTCGTCGGCAGGGGGAACTACGTTCTGACGTCGCAGTGGAACAGCGTGGTGGAGGAAGTGAAGTTTGGGGAAGACGACGCGATTCAGCTTTGGAGCTTTAGGGTCGGAAGGGAACTGAATCTGGTTTTGGTTCGGTTGGGTGGTTGCGGCGACCGACGGTAGGGGTTAAAAAAATAGAATTTTTAATTTTATTATTTTTCATTAAAAAATAATTTAAAAATATTATGTGTTAATGAGCTGATGTGGCAGCTGATGTGGTGTATACGTGGCTGCCACATATGTGCCATGTAATCAACAGTCAACATTTTATGGTTGACCGTTTGGTCAACCGTTATCTATAACGGTCAACAAAATTGTTAGGACGTAAATGACACAAAACTACCAAACGTTGGGACACAATTGTCATATCGAATACTTTAGGACACAAATGACACAAAGTTAATAGTTCGGGTTTCCCAGTGGTATTAGCCCAATAATTTATGTTTAAACATTGTCAATAGCCGACTAGAATTAGGGTGACCCAGACGAGAATGCCACAAATGAAAAAGTTTATCAAGGGTACTAGAAAAAACAGACAGACCAGAAACCCTAGACACCGAAGAAGGAGATACCCTAGACACCGAAAATGACGATGATGATGTGACTGTAGGCCGCGCATCAAGTTCCTCCAGATGAAAAATGCGGCCATGCTTGCTACCCCGACCGATCTCCCTCCCGGTCGTCAGATCCTGTACAGAGCAACCAGAAGGTGCAAAAACCACCCGACAGTTTTGTTCAGTGAGCTGACCAACGGAAACCAAATTAGGAACTAAGTGAGGAACATGTAAAGTAGACGGGAGAGACAACAAAGGCTGGGAAACAGAGCCAACTCCCTCTACTTTTAACTTGTTCCCGTCGGCAACCTGCAGAGCGAGATTCTCAACCGGACGAACATCGTTTAAAGCAGACAATTGACCAGTCATGTGATTAAAACAGGCGGAGTCAAGGATCCAGGAGGGAACTTTACCCGAGACTTGAAGGCTGGCGAAGGCGGAGGCAATTGCTTTGCTAACAAGCTGTTCCAAGGCATCAGAGGTCACAACAACACCAGCGCCAGAGCTTGCTGGTTGGGTAGCGAAAGCAGGACGAGCAGAGGACGACCCACCGGAAGAGGCACCCGCCTCCTTCATACGAGCCTGCAAAGATGGACAATCGGGAATAATATGTCCAGCACGTTTGCAGTACTCACACCAATTGCGCTTGCGGCAGTACTTCTGAGTATGGCCCTTGGCGTGGCAGTGATGACACTCCACGTCGGAGTGCCGAGGGGGAGGACGAAAGGCAGCATAGGCTGATTCCTCGGCGTTGGCGTCGGACACAGCAGGGGCAGCACGAGCGGGAGAAGACCGCTGGTCACGAACAGCAGCAGGCAGGCTGGGTTTGGCGGTGCGGCTCCCTCCAACAGAAAAAATCGCCGCATCACCTTGACCCGGCTTGACGTCGAGAAGGGATTGAGTACGCAGCCTAGTCTCCTCCTGCAGAAGAGCACCGAGAACGCCCTCCACCTTTAAGTGCTCTCGGTGAATTAAAGTAGCTCGCAGGTTCTCAAACTCGGGACGGAGGCGCGCCAAAAATTGAAGCAGCCGAAGTCGTTCTTTCTCAGCCTTGACCTCCGCAGTAATCCCTGACGGAATCAGTGCAGCAGAAATCAAATCCTGCTCAGTCCATAGTTGCCGCGCCGTGTTGTAATACGAAACAACATCTCGATCTCCTTGCTAAAGCTAGGAAAGTTCAATTTCAATATCAAACTGCTGCGCAACACTTGTCGTGCCATAGGTTTCGGCCAGGTTTGCCCACATGGCGGCGGCGGTGGGCAAAGCGCGTAGCCCCAGAACAATCGATGCCTCGACAGAATTGAGGAGGGCTGTCTTGACGCGGGCGTCGTTTTGCAGCAAGGTCGACAAAGCCGCAGCAGTAGCAGGCGGAACAACAGGTCGTGGTGACGAACCATCGAGATGGAGAAGAGACCCTTCCCCTCGATGTAAATCCGAAACTGGAACTCCCAAAGCGCGTAATTTTTTGAGTTCAAACGCGCTGAGATACGATCAGAATCCATTTGAGAAAGCTCTGATACCATGATAATCGATACGGAGATGCGAAACTGAGAATAAGATCGAAACTGAATACGACACAGGATTTAACGTGGTTTCCTTGCTCAGTGAGAGCAGGGGGCGTGTTAGTGTTGTAGTATATGATCCACGATTGAACCTCTCCCAACAACTCGAGTTATTGGGATCAACTGGTTCATGACACAAGAGAAGAGGGAGGACTTGTTGGTGATGGCGATTCGGATGTCACACCATAGTAGTCTCCTTTAATTTGAGACATAAACGTGAAAGTAGTTCAATTTGAGTACAAAGTAGATGGCCAAATTTATTGGTACTAAGGTAAGGTCTTAGTGAAGAGGTCACTGCCTTGATGCTTAGGACCAATTTTGTAAGAGGATATTTTATTTAAAGTGTTTAATGTGTTTATGAAAGATCTTATTGATTGCAATACAAATAAAGACACTTGATTATCCCAATGAATAGTACTAGTAGGACCGAAGGAAGGATGATCAAGTTTGGTGAGTAGAATCCAATCTCTCGAGAATAGGGATGACAACAAAACTCGAACCCACGGTACCCATCCGACCCAACTCGGTCAACGCGGGTAAAATCCGTATTGACGGGTTTTGGGCCGGGTTTGGGTTTAAACCCGTTCACTATTCACCGGGTTGGGTTAGGTTTGGGTTTAGGTAAACCCGGCCCGTGGGTACCCGCCCACTCATATAATTAATTATTTCGGTATATTTAATATTCTAAAATAACTATTCTTATTAATGTTTGTGGAGACATGTCCAATTTTTTCTTTTTAATTGTGTAGAATGAAGTTGATGTTATGGAGTGGAGAGTAAAGAAACTTAATTGAAAGAAAGAAGCTTTCAATTAAACATGTTATTTATGGATAATTTGTGATTTGCTTCAATTTTCTTGAGTTTTCTAGATTGGTGTTGAACAATTTGTATAGTTAATTTGTGATTTGCTTGAATTTTCTAGAATGGTGTTTTATATATGGATAATTTGTATTGAGAGATTGATATTTGACTTTAATTTTGATAAGAACTTGTAATTGTAAATTTTTTACGACAAAACCCGTGGGTACCCATGAACCCGCGGATACCCAACGGGTTGGGTTTGAGTTTTTCAAACCCAATGGGTTTTATCCCGGGTTTTTTTCAAAGATAAACCCATGGGTTTGGGTTTGGCAAAACCCGACCCAACCCGACCCATTGCCATCCCTACTCGAGAATAACATCATATTGTCAATAGACTCTTGACAGTATTACCTAAAACCTCAATCAATTTATTAAGTCATTCTGCGAATTCTCATATTAACTATGACCTTAATTAGTCCAGAGAAAATACGGGGACATGTCTCTAGTATGTGATGCACCTCTTATAAACAAGTGATCAATCATGTAAAGGAAACCGGGCATTGTCCTTGTTGGAAATTTGGTTGAACCGGACTAACCAAGTCAAACCGATTTTGGGTTGGACCGACCGACCGGTTTGGGATTAGACCGACCAAACCGATATTCTAATTTCGTGAAGGGACACATCCCTTTGGCCTAGTGGCGGTTGCATTATTTTATGGATAAGGATAACCTTATGGATAGAGGCAACCCTTCATATGGATAAGGATAACCTTTCATATGGATAGAGGCAACCTTTCATATGGATAAAGGCAACCTTTCGTATGGATAAATGCAACCTTTCATGAAACAATGCATGGATTCGGCCCCTATAAATATGTGTGGGGTGGATGATGCCACAAACCGATTTTGGGTTGGACCGACCGACCAGTTTGGGATTAGACCGACCAAACCGATATTCTAATTCCGTGAAGGGACACATCCCTTTGGCCTAGTGGCGGTTGCATTATTTTATGGATAAGGATAACCTTATGGATAGAGGTAACCCTTCATATGGATAAGGATAACCTTTCATATGGATAGAGGCAACCTTTCATATGGATAAAGGCAACCTTTCGTATGGATAAATGCAACCTTTCATGAAACAATGCATGGATTCGGCCCCTATAAATATGTGTGGGGTGGATGATGCCACAAACCATCAAAAAGATTTTTCTTCTTTCTTCCCAAAATTTCTAAGTATGCTTTAGTGTTCTTGAGCCTGGAACCTAAAGTGGTGATAGTTTTATCATCGGGAGAAATTTCCTGTAACCCTAGGCTTGTTGAGGGTGGAAATATTCTTTTCGGAAAGTGAACGTAGTTCACGACTCTATCATAATCCTAGTCACACGGTCTTGGGCTATCGTACGTGTACCCTCGTCCCTAAAAGTCCCAACAATCGAAAAGAATAATTTTCCGGTACGATGGCTCGAACCGCTCTTTACAAGAAACCGGTTCCGGTCTATGGAATTATGAGAATGTTTGATGATGGGTTTTTCATCGATGGCAGTAGAAGATGGGTTTTCTTCGTACTTATCTCATGGTGTATTCCATATCCGGAAGGTTACTTGGAAGATGGATGATTCGAAGATGAGGAAGAAGGAGAATGATTCGTAAATGGAGAAATAGAAGAATGGAAATTGCCTTTGGGTAGGTCACATACTCAATGGTTAATTGGTCTAATTCTCTATTTGACATTTACGAAGTTCTAGATAAACTTGGATTTGTCTAGTGGTTTCATGGTGTGGTTTTGTCTAAGTGGGTTACGTTAAACCAAGGAGACAAAATTGTATATACAATGTTTGATGATTCTGGTAATAGAGTCGTTGTGTTTGTATGTAGATGACATATTTATCTTTGGGACCAATCAAAGATAAATGATTTTGTCTAGTGGTTTATGTTATTTTAAACCAATGAGACAAAATGTGTACACAATTTATGATGATTCT